TTTTTATTATATAACTCAAAATTAAAAATAAAAAACAATTTCATAACATTAAACTTGTAAATAAGAATATTAATCCATACTTCTAGCCTAACACGTTATGTTATTGCCTTTGATAATGATTGTTTTTGTTGTTGTCTGTATTATGCATGAAAATGTTAAAATATAGTTTTAAGCAGAACAGATCCTACTTTTAATTTTCCTCTTTTCTTTTTTTGGGTATGTACTACTTCTAATTTTCTGCTTATACATATACATACTATTTTTTACTAGGACACTTGTACTTATTTGTATGACCATATTAAGAAAAATCAGGAGGTCTTGTAATTATAATATTAGAATTGATAATTTTTAATAAATTAATAAATTTATTAAAAATATTTAAATAATTTTATGAAAAATTTGACATTTAAATGCTAAAAAAATTTTATTTTTATTTTTATTTTTTTTCTATGTACTATTGATGAAAAAAAATTCATTTTATTTGTAGTTCAAATTCAATTTAGAAGGACTCAACAAAGGGAAGAGAAAAAAAGGAATTTAGAAATGCCAGATGGCATTCTTTTGCCCCACACGAGTTGGCGTGATTTTCGGGCGTGGCCAGTCAATTTAGTCCAAGTCGGTGCCGTTCGTGTGTGAAGTCGAGTCCCAGAACTTTTTTTTTGGTTTTTATGTGTCTCTTCTTTTTTAAAAGGGAAAAAAACAGAGAAGAAAATATCATTTCATTTATTTTGCCGCAGAGTATAATTGACAATGTAAAGAAAAGAAGGCTAGAAATTAATTGGGTATTTAGGAGGGGCTAAGTCCTATTAGCTATTAAAATTAATAATATTAATACGGTTCGTAAATTTTTGGGTACGGGATAGACTGAAATATGTACTAATAAGATGTTAATTAAATTGGTTTTTGTTAATTAAAAAAGTTAATTTGAAATTAAGATGTGATGAATTAACATGTGATGTTCAAATTTTTGTTTTTTGTTTTTTTTTTTTAATTAATTTTTTTATATTCGGTAATCATATTAGATTCAATTAATTCAAAATCAAGTCACGTCGGATTTTATTAGAGAGAAAACTCTCTCAACACTTGTTTCTCCATTTACAATATTCAAATTCGAAATATTATTTAAAAGAAACCGAAATTTTTTCACTCGAACTAATAGATTATTGGTTTCAAGTTTTTGTTGTACCAAGAAATTAATTATCTTATGTACTAAAAAGATAGATCGAAATGTGTAGTAAAATTTTTTTATAATTTTTTATATAAATTAATTAAATAAAATAACTTATTACAATTTTAATCTATACTCTTAAATACAAGTTAAACAAATACAAAAAAAATTTGCCATAAACAAGAAAAACGTTTGTTGTTACTTTTGATGTTTTTTAATATAATTATTTAAAGCAACCGTTTAGTATGTTTATTTAATTTAATAATTTAATTTTTTGTATATTAAAAAAGTTAGCTGTTAAATAATACAAGAATTTGAACTATTAATGTTGACTTTAACTAAAAATTTTAAATTAATGAGTATCAATTTAATTTAATTTTTATTAATAATTTTATTTAATTTAACAAATAAAAAGAATTTTAGTGTGTGACTCATATGATTATTGTGTGGGTTTTTCTCTCATGCCATTGGAGTTAAGGCTCTCTTGTCTTCATCTACCCTTCCCTTTACCCCCCAAGTCCCTTTGTACAAAGAAAAAAAAAAAACTTAACAAATAAAAATATTTAAATTAATAATTTTTATTATTATAAATTGTGAAATTAAATGAAATCGTTAACTATTAATTTTAAATTATTAAACTAAACAAGACTCTTGTATATGGCCTGTGGTTTAATTAAAATTTACCTGTATTTTTCAATTTCTATTTTTTGGTTCATGAAATTCTTTTCTACTTGTCAATTAAGCTAAAATTATGTTTGAAATTACTGAATTTATATTGTAATTATAGTTTAACTAATTTAAACTCTACATCATCACGACTTTTTGTTTATAAAATTATATTAATATATGTACCATATTCATTGAAAGTTGCAGCATCATACTATTATTCATAATTGGCCAGAAATTTGCCATCCTACCTACCTTACACACAAACAAAATTAGTGGAAGATATGTGCCCATGTGGGCAGGAATATATCTAACGTCCACCTAAGTTGACCTTATTTTCTTGGAATTTTATTTTGAACTAAACTGAAATGACCTTAATTTTCTTGGAATTGGTTGACATTTTTGCATCCAAGGAGCAAGATAGCTGCGTCCCACCTGGGATTCCTCATGAATTAGACAAGTTGGAGCAAATTTAGACCGAAAAAGGAGGGAAGAATGTTTTCTTCTTGTCCTCCAATGTTTCCAAAAGGAATAGTCCGTTTTGTGTTTTCGAAAAAATGGGATTTGAGTCATTAATCCAATGAAATTAAAGTCAAAGAAAGGGGTTTTGACAATTCATGCAAATCATAACCCTAATTATATCTTCAAATCAACTTTAATTAGCTTTTCGGTTTGTGCCAACCAAAAGTATATATTCTCCCAAAGAAAAAGGGAAAAAACAAAAAGACTTCACAATACAAAACTTTCCGATACTTTCTTTGCTTAGTAGTTTGTCACCATTCTTCCATATCCCACTACTTTGTACAAATATGGTTTTTCTATCTGTTCTTTACATATTTTCTTCTTCTTTTTGCTCCCTTGTTGATATCAGATAAGGGAATGAAGCTTTAACAATCCATTACAAGTGAGATGTGGGGTCTCAGTGTTAGTGATTGGGGAATTGGAATTCGTTTTGAAGGGGGGCATGTTGGAAAGGGAAATGGTTGGTTTAATTAAATAGATACAATTTGAGGTTATTTGAATTTGGTTGGCTTCTATGGTTTCATTCAAAAAGTTTGCCCCCAGGTTACGTTTTGTAATTGGCTTCTTATTGTGTTGATCATGCATACCACATTATTAAAGTGTTAGTAATTTTTTTAATTATTAAATTAGTTTTAATTAATATTGTGTATATTTGTGAGGAAAGAGCTCTTAACATTGTTAGTGGAGAGATTAATTTCGAAGTACATAAAAATTGATTAAAAAATACTTTGATCATAAATATTTAAAAGAATTACATATCAAACTGCTCAACATAAATTATTAAATACGATAAACCTCTTGATATTGAAATTAACTCTCTTATTTATTAATTTTTATTTTATAATTTAATATAATTTTAAAAACTGTCAAACAAAAAAACTCTTTTACAAATATATAAAATACTTTTTAAAAATAGATATTAAACACTAGAATGATTTTTTTCATGACATAATATAAAAATAAAAAAAATATTTTACAACCTAAATTATAAAATAACAAATTCATATAATAAAAAGTCAAGTCACAACTTGACACCCTTGAGCTATTTTTTTGCCACACGGCATGGGGCATCTCCCTGCTGCAAACATTGCTCCTTTGAATGGGTCTTCATAATTATGGCCCATCTACATCTCTCTCTAAAGAAACAAATTTGGATGCCCAGATTTCTGACATTTGTAAATTCTTTTTTTTTTTGATGAATTCTGACATTTGTAAATTCTATTGTGCACAAAGCCAGAATATTGGGATTGACTTCCCTTCCGAAGCTACTACAGATTATAATTGCAGAGAAATGCACGCGTCCACTTTACAGGGTTGAAGTAAGCCATGCAGCAGATGGCCCATGTGTGAGAGCGTTGCCCTGTTTTTGCATTCCAAAGCATCATGTGACAACAATGTGTGTACCTCTGCATATTGGATTTTCAGTGCCACTTTCTAGATTTCCATGCTCTCATCATGTTGTCTAACTAAATTATCCATCACCCAGTTGCTGCTTTCTGACAATCTAACCATCGCGGTGACTCGGTGAGGTACAGCAGCCGAACCACGCGGCAGCTGCCCGGATGGTTAAGGGAAGTTAGTTGGAGTTAGTTACCAATGTTGAAAATCAGTTGTCCCAGCTATATACTTCTGAACTGGACTCTTAAGATTTAATGGTTCATTTTCAAATCTTAATGCTTGATAAAGTTGATTAAGAGTTCGAGCACCATTAATCACTTGAATATTTGTATTAGACTTATGGGTTATGGTTATTGGTGCTTCTTCCAACCTATGCGCTGACCCATTCTCTTTCCCCTTCCCTTGTAATTGCCCTTGTTAAAAAAAAAAAAGAAAAAAAAAAGAGAGGCTTATTTACTTCTGTTTCTGTCTTCTCTCTCTTGCCAAAGGCTCATCCTTTTAGCTGCCAACTACTTTGGTAACTTACTGGTAATCTCATTTTTTAGGTCGCGGTTTTGGATGCGAGTTCTACAGCATACAAGGGAGGTGGGTAACGTGAAGAGAAAGTGGAAAAGTTTACCATCTGATTTAAACTTTCAAGAGAGCCTTAATAACTAATAAGCACCTCATGCGTAACGATAAAAAAAATCAAAATTCTTAACGAGAGGTGAAAGTTAAAAGCTAGACAAAATGCCTGCATCCTACACGATATATTAACTTCAAGTTATTGGCCAAATACAATAATATCAGTTAAAGGTAGGGATGTAAACAATGAATTAGCGTCTCTAGCATTTCCATCAACTACCATTATCACTGCATCAGTCAGAATTCCAATAGCCAGATTTAGCGTCCAACTTCAACGTCAGTCCCAACAACTTGAATAGGTCTAAAAATGATAACCTGCTCACCCAGAATGTTGCAACGTCGTGGGAAGGAAAGAAAGCAAACTTTCTTTCAATAAGGCAAACAGCATGGCCTCCCATCATTTGATTGCTAAGTAGAACAAATTTTCATATATTGCCTCAACCTCGGCCAAACTGAACATCCAGGTGGCTTAAACGACCATGGGATGAAGGAACATTGAGTTGATAAGTTTTCCTTGGACTTATGATGCTTTTGATATTATCTTTTGGCTTTTTTGAAGGCTCCTTATGAGCAACAGGATGCAGATGCAGCATCACAATCATGCTAACAGCAAACAAAGCTGCATTGTTCAGAATTCCACCCATATGTTTGAAATTCAAAGATCTCTTTGCAAAGTCGAAACTAGAGAATAGAACTTTGATCAGTAAGTCGGATGCCTTCCCCTCATGTTTATTGGCACCAGATGGACTTACTGGAGCACCATAAAGGTTTTCAGGTGAAACAAATCGACCAGTGTCTACATCTCCCACAAAAGCTAAAGCTTCTTCAATGACTTTGTAATTCTTACCATGGTGTTCAGCCAATCTCATGGCAAGAATAATCCTGCTTTGTTCTAATCGTGCAATGGCAGCATCTCTCTCTGCTCGCTGCTGTATTTGTACAGTCTGTAAAACAAAACAGAAAGATGTTAAACCTCAAATTTCACTGAACAGATTGAAATCTAAAACACAAATATATCTAAATATGCAAAACTGTGACCACATGATGAGTAAAACAACACCAAGATCAGTTATTCTAAAGAAAATTGTGATTGGCACCCTGAACAACAATTCATGACAACCATATCTGTTTGGACTAAGTGTTGAAGCAAAACATTAGAATTCAGCCAATCCTATGGCCTAAACAGATGCATTTCCTTGTGCAATATATCCAAACCAAATTATCTTAACAGATTGTCTCCATAAAAATAATATAACAGTGAAAATCAGGACGCCAAGGACTGCCAGTGAAATTGTTCAAACATCCTTAATGAATCTTCCTTGCATGTTGATTCATTAGAGGTATTTAAGCCTTTTCATTATCATTCCTAGCATTTTAACCGCTAGAACATCTTGATTTTCTTCAATCCCTAATCACAATACCTTTAAGTAACACATTCTAATCTAAAGTGCTCTATGATGAAGCCATCCCATTCAACTTACTGATGTTAATTCAAACTGTTGACATATCTCTTTTTTATCCATTCACTTTCCCTGGGATTCACACAATAGTGAAAACAACTGCACTTAGGAAAGCTATTCCTAAATCAACTATATAGACATGAGAGGAATTAGGCAATTCAGTAAGAACACAAATCAAAAAAAGAAACTAATGTAACAACCACCAACTAATCTCTTCAATTGCTAAAAATGGCACTTCTAACTCTCAACATCTCTCTTCATATGCTTGATAAGCACCTGCCACCCAGCAGCAAAGAACTTGATGGAACCCGCTAACCATACATACATACAATCCCCCCTAAATGGCTCACTGTCTTGCAGCTTATCTCCTAGAGTCCTTTCTTTGCTTAAAAGTTTGAACCATTGCTACCAATTCAAAATAATCTTGTTCAATTTCAATTTTGCCAACCACTGCAATCCCAGTACATCCACAAGAACACTCAATTCAGAGCTTCATAACATTCATCTCCCTCTATCTCCTCAATAATAAGTTAAACTTGTATTATCCTCCTAGCTATGGAAACATTTACGCACCATTTCCATAATTTATAACTTCAATGGACGACAAAAAATTTCCACTAATCTTGCCCAATACATGTCTACTTTTACTTTTGGAAATTAAACAAACTGACTTAAGCATTGAGATGCATTTTCCGTCAACATTTTCAGTCATTTTCTCATCAATCAAACAGAACCAAAAAGATAACAAAATTAAAGCCACAAGAAAACTCACATGCAAAAAATCGAGCTGGTCTTCAAGATTCTCGAGAGCAGTCCTGATTGCATTGAGACTCTTCGCCTCCTGAATGGCGGAGTCACTTTCCTCGGCCTTAAATTCCTTAACGAACACGAACCCGGCCCGATTTTCGTCACCGGCGGCATCGCCGAACTGCTTCTTTTTGTCCGATTTCCTCAGGCTCTTAATGGAGTCGAGGAAGTGAGCTCGAGTGATGGAGTGAATGGCGTCGCTGAGCTTGTCATGCAAGTCCCAAATTTTCTCGAGAACTGCTTCGATTTCTTCGATCTCCATATCCCATTTCATTTTCCGGCAACAGAGGAAAACCTGAGAAATGGGAAAGAGAAAGGTGAAATTGGGGGGAAACTGTTAATTTTCATTATAAATTTTAGGGTTTGGCGTTGGGGAGAAGTAAGGAATTTTCAATTTGGACTTTTTCGGGGTGCGATTTTCGCTCCAGCGGTTTTGGACCGGACCTTCCATATCTACATATTCGGAAAAGACTTGGTTTTACGACAGTCCACGTAGTCCATACTTTTTTTTTTTCTTTTTACTATTATGCGTATTTAGAACAATTTTAATTTTAGTGTAAAAATTTGGGCTTATCAGCTAGTTTTTTTGAAAAATTAGAAGAAAGTACATTTTAAAATTACATTATTTTATTAAAGATTTTTTTAACCTGTGCTATTAGAGTCTTTTTTAATTATTTATCAATTATTTAATTAAATTTATTTATATGGTATTAACTTTAAAATTAATGCTTATTTTTACATTTTTTATATAAATTTATTACAAAAAGGTACCATTATGGTACAAGTTAAAAAAAATCCTTTCAATAAAATATACAAAAAATTAAATTATTTTCATTTTTCTTTAAAAATAGGTTAATTTAATTTTTTTAATGTGAGTTTAATGAAAAATATAGTTTTGGGATTTTTTTCTAATTTTTTATATGTTTGACCAACAAATCCTTTTCTTTTTAAATATTTCTTTCGTTCAACTTTATTAGATTTAGTTTTCTATTTTAAGTGTTCAAATTTAGTTGTTTAATTTTCTTTTTAGGATATTATTCAATGTGTTTATTCTTATTTTGATTTGATTTTAAAAAATAATTACAATATATGTTAAATGAGAAATCTTACTTAAGTAATACTTAATTAAGCTTAAATATAAAGTTTATTAATAAATTATTATATTTCTATTTTATTTGAAAAAAAAAAGAAAATCTATTAAAAATGAACCAAAGGCATATAAAAAAATGATAAAAAAAAAAGGTCTATTAAAAAACAAAATGAACCAAAGGAGTATAATATTAAATTTTACCCCAAAAAATATAATATTAGAAAACAATTTTTTTAGGCTAGACTACACACAAAAGTATAGTTTGGTTTTAGAAGTACCTGAGCACCCTTAATAAATCTAATTTAGTAAGGATATTTAAATACTTTTACAATTTAAATGATATCCAGTCTGAACTAAAAAATAGATTTTAATAATATAAATAAAAAAGTTACAAGGTAGCTTGTCTTGCACAAACAAAATAGACTACGTATTATTTTCAACCATTAATAAAAAAGGGATAAACTCTTAATATTAAAGACTCTATCCTCTCTATAAATATTTAAATGAAGTAGATTACACTTGTCTAAATATTAAATGTGAAAAATAAGAGATATTTAAACAAGAACAAAAAAAAAGAAAAAGAAAAAAAAAACACATTGTTGCCAAACCAACCATAATAGAAAAAAAAGGGGATGGATATATAATTTTTTTAAGAAAAAAGTGAAAAACAAATTCCTCTTGCTATCGCTTCTCTTTTACATCCAAATCGATTGTGGTCTTATTCGTACAAATGATACACGCAGGCGCCAAACACATCAAGGCAAAAAAGTGTTTTTGCCTTCTTATTGAAACTTTCTCCCATTTACTGCTTCATTTTTGCTACATCTCTAGGCAGATTAAAATGACTTTTCATAAATTATTGAATAATAATACAGGGAACGATTCTTATGAGATGAAATTAGGGGACCACTTACGTGGCTTGCCACGTATACAGATGCCCAATCCCACTTCAAACAGCATATGGACCCCACTTTTTTTGGGGAACCAACCCTTCCCTTTTTTTTTTACTGTATTTAATATTGGGTCCCACAATCTTAGGGGGACTACCTCATAGTTTGCATTGATTAAGCCAGTGGTTGTTAGAGAAGTCAAAATTCTTAGTGATCTATTTGAAGTGGGGTTAGGCGTCTGTATACGTGGCAAGCCACGTAAGTGGTCCCCTAATTTCGTCTCACAAGAATCGATCCCTGTATCATTATTCTTAATTATTATATAAAATCCATATGGCTTTCCTTCCCAATTTGATGGTTCACGAGGTTCATCCAGGCCACCATCCTCGCCAGATATTTCCTCCAAAGACCATCCCATGGTTTCCGGCACCAAAAAGCTACATCGTGCTAAAAAGGGTGCAAAATTCCAATGACTATTTTTAGCAACATAAACCACGTAATGAAACCATACTTTCAATAACAAGGAATATATTATTGAAAAGGGTGCTATGCATTAGCAACATGAGCCTTGTTAGTAATGTATTATCGACCAAAGCTTCTCCAACGAAGGAATCAACAACATAGTCCTTGTTATTGAAGTACTTTCAACAACATAAAGGGCACTTTCACCGATGTGCTACCATGTTGCTAAAAAGGATAGTTTTAGTAGTGAAGGTGAAACAAAACCCTAACATATTAGTGAAGGCCAAAGCTATGAGTGCATTCTTGATTTTACTTGTGGTTCCGTCTAGTGTATACAATTGCACCATGAATATTGCAACTATAGCCCCTACCTTCCCAAATGCTGCAGTAATGGCATGACACGTGGATCGAAACCATGTTGGAAATAGCTTTGCCAACAGCACAAATGTTGTGCTTTCAGGCCAAAGTTGGCGAAGAATGTCAACCCATAAATGATAGCAAACAGAATGTGATTGTCCTTCTTGAGATATTCATATTTGATGCCAAGGAATAGCATGACAAGAGACATCATCAAGAAAACAATCAGTTGGATTAACCACCAACTAAGGTTCTTGATGAAGAAGACAGTGAACCAGTATCCTGGGAATGTTCTGAACAAGGTAGTCATAAACATGGCATGTGACACCTAGAAAACCTCCCTAAGGGCATTAATGTCAAGTGCTTGTATGGTCAGATCAATAGTAGGAAATATGTCTTTCTGTGTTAGATTCTGACTGTAGAATGTTATATCCAACAAAAACCAGGTCGTTGCTGTACTTGTAAAATTTAGAAATAAGTGTGTGTTAGTATTTAGGTCAAGTCTTGTATGCAAAGCAAAGTTAGTATTTAGGTCATGTTTTGTATGCAAAACAAAGTCATTTTAAGTGTTCAGTTGACTAAATTACTATGCTTCTTTGCTAAGAAAGAAAACCTTTCAAAGATTGAACTCTAGTAGAAGAATCCATAAGCAGCTAATAAGCTGTCGCGTGAACAAACTTTATAATTCTTCTTCTAGCTAGGATGTAGGGCAATCATCAAACAGACCCTTAGTTTATAAAAACTATTCATGCAAGTGTTTCTAAAAGTATATTATTCTACATATCGATTAGATGAGTGCCATGGCGACTGTTGAACTCTTTGGAGAATAATTAATAGTTGTTTGTAGTTCTAAATTGGGTTAACTTTTGTGCATGTACCTTTAGCTCAATGTTAAGAACTTGTCCCATGTTTGCGGTGGCTTGCTTGGAATTTCCTTTTATAATTGCGGTGTAACGACTAGTTTTGGGCATCTTCATTTGCCAGTAGAAGGTTAGAAGTGCCGATGAGGCTCCAAGCATCAACACAATCCGTTACAAATAATCTGCTTCGCGTTGCGTGGAGAAAACTAGGTCTTTTTTAAATGACGGAGCGAGGTAAGGATGAAGGAATATTTTTGACAAAGTTATGGAGACTAGTTCAATAATCCTAGCACCTTGCATAGCAAAAACTGTCGCAATAAATTTCCCGTGGGTTTTTTTATTGGCATATTCCAACATGATGGTGGTGGAAAGTGGGTAGTCACCTCTTATACCAAACCTTAGCCAAAATCTAAAGAAACAAAGAGTTCTTATGACAACCTTTGCCGAGGAACCAAAGGACAAACCAGAGCAAATGACGCAAGTCATCATCATGACGAGGGTGATATTGTACACTTTTTTGCATCCAAGTTTATTGCTAAGATACTCGAAGACTAGTTGCCTGACGAGGGTACCAAACAGGGCTACGTCGATAACTAAGTTGTTAGTAGTGTGAGAGAGCTTGCCAAGAGCTCCCTTGGTAGGGTTGTAGAAGTAAAGGCAACAAAAGGAGTTTAGAGATGGTGGAAATGCAGAAAAGATCATAGGCATCGGTGCAGAAACCCATCCTCGCAATGACTATGGCTTTCAGGTGGTACAATTGCATTTGAGTAGTGTCAAGTGCATGGAGCACTACTAGGCGCTTTTTTTTTCTTTTTTTTTTAACATAGGGAATAAGAAGGGAAGGGGGAATTTTTCAAGTAGATGGTGGGAGTCAAACTCCCAACCAGCTAAACCTAGATACTAAGACTTAGGGACAAACCATTAGAGTTGAAAGTCTGGTTCCACTACTAGGTTGTTGGATTTGTCTAATTTTGTTTTAGTTGAGCTTGGTTTTTCGTGAGTCGGTCCATTGTTGCTCATTTAATGTATAGAAAGCAACTATAGGACAATAATTAAGATAAGTACATAACATTAATTTTAATGTTATGGGCAAACAACACACCTGGCCTTCTTGGCTGGATTGCTATTGTTAACACAAAAAAAATGGGAAAGAAGGTATGGAACCAAGAACTTTATTGATCAACAATAGAGAGAGTTTATAGTGGAGAGAAAGTAGAGAAAATAATTTTCCCTCCTAAGTTCATTCTTGAGGTATTTATAGGATGTTTACATGAAGTTTTCCGTAGGAATATAACTCTATTTTGATTGGTGTTTGGGAGGTCTATTTCTAATAGAATTGTGTTTATCTTATTCTTGGTAGGAGTCTTCCTAAGATATTTCCATGTGTTCTAATTCTCAAAAAAACCAAATTTAAGAAAAAAAAACAAAAAACAAAGTAAAAGGGCAACCGTAGCCCAAAGGTTGGGTTGCGAATCCTCTATCCCCAAAGTTATAACCAATAAAAACAAAAAAAGTTATCGGGAAACAACAAGAAATTGGAAAGGGAATATGGAGGACATTCTTAAAGCTTTGTTTGAAATCATGAAAGAAAAAGGATATGCTAATTAAATGGGACAATTAAATTATTTAAATCAAATAGTATTTGTCTTTAAAGAAAGACGTTTTATTTTGCATAAGATGCTAATTTGTTTGGACTGTTACAATGACCAGAAAAGTTTACCCTACCTGTGTGCGCTTTAATTAACCAATAGTTGAGTAAGTCATTTTTCATGAATTTTTTTGACCCTACTTGCGTTTATTATTATTATTACTATTATTATTTTACTCTACTTGCTTTTTATCAAATTCAATGATCAGTTTTTAAAAATAATAATTAAAAAAATTTTTAAAAGTGATTTATTCCAAATTATTTATGTATATATATTTTGAATTTTGGGAATTGATTGGAAAAGGAGAAGTAAGACCTTGCATTAGAACCCAGGTTAGGCATCCAAGCGCGCGCACACACACAAAGATACATAATTTGAAAATGAAGACCACATAGATTCCTAAAAAACTCAACTACAACACCCCCTTATGGTCCAATATTCCTTATTTCATTCCCGGCCCATCAAAGCTTAAAACCCAAATGCCAATTGATTTGGGTCCTCGGCGTTAATCAAATCCAAATTCTTAAATAATAATCAAACTATCAAAGGTACGCTAAGGTGTTCATCGTTGTGTTCCTAAGTAACACAACTCGAATTCTTCACTAAAATTACAAAAACTTATCGAATTTCAGATTTTTTTTTTCTCTGCTACTTAGTAAAACTCAAAATCACCTCATCAATTAATCCAGCAATTGTAATACACAAAATTTTTTTTTCACATTGTCCGATATGCATTATGCCAATATAATATTAACTAATACTTGCGTGTATATGAGTTTTTTATATTTAAATATTTAAATAAGAATCATATTAGCATCAGACTTTTCAAATTTATTGACATTAATCATATTAAAAAAATATGCATTCTTCCCTTCCCTTTGAGTTTGAACTGGATCCCGTTTTTATAAACATGTTCAAAAACAAAAAATAAGCATCATATTATACACCTCAAATTATGTAAAACAACAAATCAAAAAAATGTTAAATGAAAAACAACAACCCTAAACATTATAAGACTACCTCTCCCCTAATACTTTAACATAGTCTTAGTTTATAATATTATAAATTGATTTTAATTATAAAATAAAAATAATTTATTAAATAAATAATATTTTGTAATTTAAATCAATTTAAATTATAAAATACTTTATTATTATTTTAAATTATATAATCTCACATGTTTGGAACTGCATAAATTTCTTATATTTAAATTATTTACCTCGGGTTTTGTAATACAGCTGTGTGTTTTGATTTTAAAGTGACGGCGCGAAAGTCACGCATCGACTCACGCCCAACCGTAGAAAGCCCTAGAACAACCGGCGGCCCAACTTTGACAACCAAAAATAACGCCCCGTTTTCCACTCCCCACCAGCTCTGCTCCCAGCAAAAACCGCCATTCGTGGAAAAAAAAATAAATGCTTCCGTTAACCTAAACAAATCCCAGGTAAAAAAAAAAATTTTTTTTTTTGTTTGTACTGTATTCAAGTCGTTTTCAAAGACTCTCCAAACGTGACCTAAGGTATGAGACTTTCCACTCCTCTTTTCCCCTTCTCCAAGGAACATGGAAATATTCAAATATGCTTTGTTTTGATTCCGTTTTGTTTTTGTGAAAAACGAAGATGGTCGAAGCGCGGCGACCGGAGAATTCATGGGCGAGGTCGGAGCAGTCGTCCGGCGTCGAAATGAACGGTCGCGATTTGTCTGTGTTGGAACGGATTCTGACGGATAGAGATGGGTGCGGAGTCAGTGATTCTCAGGCTCAACAGAAAACCAACAATGCGTCCGATACGCAATTAGGGATTGCAGAACGAGCTTTCTCTGCCGCCGGTGCCGCCTTTTTATCTGCAATCATCGTTAATCCTCTTGATGTTGCTAAGGTAATTCGTTGACCATTTCATCCTTTCATGAATCAATGTATAATAATGTATTGTTGCAGAGTTCAGATTGTCATTCAATTGAATCCTCTGTTTTGATCTAATAATTGATTGGGAAATTAGCTTTTAGGTTCTTTAATGGCTTCTCGCAATTTTAGGTGTACATTTCTTAATGTTT